AAAGATGGGCACTACATTAGCCTTTTTCCAGTCATCCGGGACCTCCCCCGATCGCCATGAGTTTTCAAAGATAATGGCCAATGGCTCTGCAATCACATCCGCCAACTCCTTTAGCACCCTTGGATGCAGCGCATCCATCACCATGGACTTGTGCTCGTCCAGTTTTTCTAAATAGTCCCGAACCACTCCTTTCTCCACAGAGGGCTGGTCACCTTCTCCCCATACTGTGCTGCCCAGTGCAACAGTCTGGGAGCTGACCTTGTTCGTGAAGACAGAGGCAAAAAAATCATTGAGTACATTAGCTTTTTCCACATCCTCTGTTACTAGGTTGCCTCCCTCATTCAGTAAGGGGCCCACACTTTCCTCGACTTTCTTCTTGTTGCTAACATAGCTGAAGAAACCCTTCTTGTTACTCTTAACATCTCTTGCTAGCTGCAACTCCAAGTGTGATTTGGCCTTCCTGATTTCACTCCTGCATGCCGGAGCAGTATTTTTATACTCCTCCCTGGTCATTTGCCCAATCTTCCACTTCTTGTAAGCTTCTTTTTTGCATTTAAGGTCAGCAAGGATTTCACTGTTAAGCCAAGCTGGCCGCCTGCCATATTTACTGTTCTTTCTACACATCGGGATGGTTTTTTCCTGCAACCTCAATAAGGATTCTTTAAAATACAGCCAGCTCTCCTGGACTCGTTTCCCCCTCATGTTATTCTCCCAGGGGATCCTGCCCATCAGTTCCCTGAGGGAGTCAAAGTCTGCTTTTCTGAAGTCCAGGGTCCGTATTCTGCTGTTCTCCTTTCTTCCCATTATACTTAGTTATGCCCCCGTGACCCACCCTAAATCATTCCTCTCCTGCTCGGGTGTTAACACCTGCCAGGAATTCCTAGACTGCTGCCAGAACCCCTGTATCACTGCTTACCGATAGTCAGCTCTTTTAACCTTTCATCATGAGTCATTCTCTGCACTGGTGGCTCTTCCCTGAACTCTACCATGAGGCTACTGTAGGAAGCCAAACTGGAACCTGGATTCAACCAGCATCTAAAAGATCTTAATGTGATCTGGGGGCCACTCCTGTTCAGGGCCCAGTGGTGCACTGGCGGGGGGGCGTCTAGGGACCTCTTGTTAAAATCCAGCCATCGTTTTTGCAGGGAAGATTGGGCGATCACTTTACCAATGCTGGAGCCCCACCCCCTGGATGCTGCTAATTCATTCCTAGCAGAGATGGCTTGTCTCTGGGGCTCCTACCTGCATTTCCCCCACTCTGCCTTTGGAATGGAACTGATTGCAGGTGTCTAGGGGATTGCCCAGGAGATTGTCCTGCTCAGCTCCCCTACAATTTCATTGTTCCTCTTGCCTCATTTCCAGAGTGGAGCACTGTGCTATACTTGAAATATTTTCAGGAGCAAAACATTTATGGCCAAAGGACACTTATGAGTCTGTTAGCCAAGGGGTGACCTTTCTTCTCATTTTTGTTGATGGGGTCAATAAATAAATTCCCCTGGCAATCGCCCCCCTCCCCAATCCTTGGGGTCTATCACTGGCTAAAGGGGAATATTTTTGTGGAAGCCTTATGTTAAAATACTGGCAGCTCAGGCTGCCTGATGTGCCTTATGAGCTCTATCCAGGAATCGCTTCCTCCTCCACTGAATTGGGGCAGCAGTTTGGTACAGCACAGCAATGCATCGGGACAGGACAGGGGAAGAAGTGAGGAAAAATCCTGTATGCAACTGAAACACACAGGAATTGTAGGGAGGCAGAATGCAACTGCCCAAGGTGGAATCTGGCCAGGACACCTGGCCTGACACCCTTACTCCTGCCAAAAGTGCTAAGGGATCTGTAATGACCACAGGGGCTTTAGTTTTATAGTGCATCCAAAGGGCAGCACCCCCGGGGCATTGCTCCAGTTTTGGAACAAAAGGAAGGGCACCCCCTACTGACTCACAATATGGGGTTTTCTTTGGTGGCCTCCCATCCAAGTACTAACCCAGCCCATCCCCACATAGTCTGCAAGGTTTCTGGATTGCAGCTTGAGGTTAAATGGCTGCAGGCCACTAAAAATGTGACCCTAAAATGTTCAGACCAAGATACACCTGGCCCGTTTGCTCAATTTATTCACTTCAACCCAGTTTCCTAGTGCGCAGTGCCCATGCCATCCTGCGATGAGCCTGCCAGACATCTGGCTGACTGGGCCTGGCACCCTCCCAGAGGCAGCTGCAGGATTTAGTCACTTCCGGCACCTCCCTCCCACTTGTGCCAAGTCAGAAAGGAACATGCCGGGTCCAGGGAGGTCATAGAAGCAGAGTAGTGAGAAGGCCCAGGGTAAGGGGATAAGGGCAGGCAACATCCCACTCAGTGCCACTAATTCCTCGACCCAGCACGCCCAGTGTGAGGAGATGCCCACACCTACACACATGGTGTACCATGGCTCACGCGGGCCAATAGCAGGAGGGTGTGCAAGTGCCTGGAGCCATTTCTGCCAGCCGCGCACAGGGGAGCTCCCAACCCATGGCAGTGCAGTAGATGCTGTTGGGTGAGCGGTCACCCTCCCAATGACCCAGAGATAAGCAGCCCTGACAAGCATGGGTAAGCCAGGCTCCAAGCGCCCTTCTAGCCCCGATCTCATGGTGACTGACAACCACTGGGCAGAGATGGATCCCCTCCCTCACGCCTGCCTTGCAGCACTGCACTGCCAGCTATCTGGCATTGGGCAAGGGGTGCCATCTTCCCCTGGAACATCAGGGACTGGCAGCTTGTGGAGCCAGCTTCCCAGAGCATGGGGGTGGCTGACCAGGGCAGGATACAGGGCAAAGTATTGCAGTTACTGGGTGCCTTATAGACAGCTAGGCTGGCTAGACTCCTGGGCCCATCTACTATGACAGGAGGTGGGGTGAGAGCACACCATGTATGGGGCTTTGCAATGTCTACGTTTGCATTAGTGCCACAAGAGCATATTGTCTTTGGTGGGAACACCAAGCAGAGCTGGAGGTTGCGTTCAGCGTATTGAGACTGCATCACCTGGGTTTGTCTGGAGGCTGCTCTCACAGAGGTAACAGCCTGCGGACGCTACTGGCTATGGAGAAATTGCCCAACCTCAGCGCCCAGTTCTCTAGCACTTAAGGCTTACCTATACAAATGTTCTTAATGACAAGCTTGGGCTCACTCCATCCCACTGCTCTGCTGATGCCCCTCAACCTTGACCGTGACCTCTAGATTCCCACCTCCAAGCCTCTTTTCACACTGCTCCTTATTCTTGGAACAGCCTCCCTCATCCGAAAATCCCCTTCCTCTGTCCCCAAGTCCCCTTATAACCAGATGGGGCCCAATCCCAAACCCCAGATCCAAACAACCCTAATGTTCGAAAGCCACTCCCAGATCCTAATTTTGTGCCCATCTTTACTTCAGCCCCATCCCTCCCCTTCCATTGTCCACTCCTACCCTTGGGTCCCATCCAAAGCTCCTTAGACCTGAGAGACCCACACCACAGTGACCTAACTCAGGGTATGTCAACACTGCACACTAAGCCCCAGCTCTGGTTCAGGGTGGAGCCCCACTCCCCCTTCCGTCTACACACAAATTAGTCTGACTCAGGTCAGTAAGCACTCAGGACCCTGGTCCTAGGAGCTTGCTGCGGGGGGTGGTCAGAGTGTGAGTCCCACTGTGACTCAGGGCCAAGCCCTGTCATTTTGCAGTGTGGACATTGGTCAAACCGCAGACCTGAGTCACAAGATCTGCATAGTGCAGTGTGGATGCGTTAGCACAGCTGCGAGACCCAGGCCCGGCAATTGTAAGCCCAGGTTTACAATGCAGTGTGGACGCTTGGAAACACGGACTCCACAAGCCTGGGTCCTGCAGACCCTGGGTTTACAATGAAGTGTGGATAAGAACGGCCACACTGGGTCAGAGCAAAGGTCCATGTAGCCCAGTATCCTGTCTTCCGACAGTGGCCGATGCCAGGTGCCCCAGAGGGAATGAACAGAACAGGGAATCATCAAGTGATCCATCCCCTGTTGCTCATTCCCAGCTTCTGGCAAACAGAAGCTAGGGACATCCTCCCTGCCATTGTGTACAAACAACCTAGGATGGCACCACTAAAGCCTTATCTCTAATGACCCAAAGCAAGACAAATTGGAACCCAGGCCTCAAGACAGAAGGCCACTCTATTAATCCAATGTATTGTCTAGTCTGCTTATACTAGAGTTTTTGTTTGGTGTTTGTTTTGAAGGTAAACATGCTGACTTTCTTGTTCAGTATTTAAAAACAAGTGTACTCATTCTATTGGGTATCTGCATTATAATAAGGAAGGCATGTTTTTATTTTCAATTTCTTCTTATTCTGTAGTCTAGCAGAGCTGGAAGCGCTGCAGGGCTATGGTGCCACATAACTAACCCCTCTTGCCAGTGAAGCAAGACTGACTCCAAAAGTCCTCTGGACCTGTTTTTTGGTGAGATTGTGTTTTAAATTCTGGGAAGAATGTAAAGCAAAGAAGGTAAATCAGAAGGGAGTGGGAGACAGGTTTCAGGGCTCTGAATGGCAAATCAAGACCCCCACCTCATAGAAACTAAGAGAAAGTTAAAAAGCTCTAGCAGATCCAGTCATAGCACAAGTTCCAATAAAATAAGGCAAAGTGTCTAGTACTGTAGTTAGATCATGGCCAAGGGCCAAGGCATTAGGCCTCCTTGGTTCTATACACAACTCTTACATGGATACACGTGTTTAGAGCAGTGTAACACCTGCCTCCCCAGAGGCCTGCAGTGAGATTGACCAAGGAACAGAGCCACTTCCCTCCTCTAGGGGCGCTCATTTCTCCTCAGCCCGGCTGTTCCTGGGATCAGCAATGGGGAGCCCCCTGCAGCCCCCTGTGTCCTTCACCCCCGGGCGTGAGCCCGAGCCTCGTTCCCTGGCTCGGATCCGCGCTGGGGGTTTGTGCCTTGGCAGAGCGGGGGTGGGTGGGAACAGGGCCGAGCCGGGCGAGCTCCCCGGACCCCGGCAGGGCCGCCTCCTACCCTGCTCCGTGCACCACAATGCAGCTTCCGGCGCCGGCCCCGCACAGCCCCCGCACGATGCCCGCGGCCCGCGGCAGGGACTCGGCCCGCAGCGTCTCCAGCTGGTTCTTCTCCGTCAGTGCGCTACCCCCCAGCTTCACGATGCAGCCCACGGCAGCCATGAGGCGTCCGCCCCACACACAACCCCCCCCCCCACCGGCACCCCCCCCCCCCGCCCCCCCCCCCCGGCCCGCCCCACACATGCAGCCCCCCCCCCCCCCCCAGCTGGGTGACATCACTTCCCAGCACCATTAACCGTTCGCACGCCCCTCAGGAAGCTCGCCTGGAGAATCGGACCCGCTGCCCTAGGCAGCAGCTGGCGAGCCCCTGGGAGCGGCGGCCTCCACCCGCGGGTCCGCTCCAGCCATCGCCCCCCGTCCCCCAGCTGTTTGAAGGGGAGTTAGAAGTCGCTGGGGGTTGCACGCTAGGTGCGCTTCTCTAGTTCAAGCTCGCACCCGTATCAGCTCTATTGCAACAACCCCCCCCAGCCAGGGGCTGGGTGCGCCCCCCATCTCCCCTCCCCCCCAGGCCAGGGTCCTCCCCCCCATCTCCTCTCCCCCCCTCCCGGGTCCTCCATTCTCACTCTGTGCCAGGCGCTCTGTGCGCCTTCCCTTCTAGGCAACCAACTCAGAGCTTAGTTGGTCCTACCCCACTGCTGTTCCATGGCCACAGGGTGACAATGGGTTTGGTAGGGGTCAGTCCAATTCCTGGGAGGTGTGTATGTGGGGGGGGGAGGGTGTTTCTACATAAAACAACCCCTCACTTAGTGCCCTGGTTTAGCTACAGCGGAGAGGCCAGGAGCACCGTGGAGAGGGGCTTCCAAAGACACAAGAGTTAAGACAGCGAGCCTAGCTCCCTGTGACTTTCCCTAGGATGGTGGGGGCTAACTCCCTTCGACTCCTTGGAAACCACCAGCCGTCTCTCCCCCATCCTTCCGGGCCGAGGCTGAGGTGCACTGGTGGGGAGGGGAGGGGGCTCTGCTAGTCCCTGTTCTGTGCGAGGGGTGGGAGGTGTCAGTCTCTTCACCTGTCAGCCAGCCCTGGCTCAAGCACGAAGGCCCAGCTCCTCGAAGGTATTTAGGCACCTAACTCCCATTGATTTCAGACACCTAAATACCTTTGAGGAGCTGGGCTGAAAAACTCTCCATTGCCACAGGAGGAAGCAGATTCCACCCCCATTGAAAGCAGGTGCACAGATCACTTCACACACTGCCCCTTGGGAGTAGCTCAGGATCAGTCTCCCCTTGTGCAGATGGGGGCAGTGACTTGCCCAAGGTCACACGCAGAGCCCTTAGCAGAGCTGGGAGTAGAAGCAGAAGCTCAAATAAGAATTAATCCAGGGAAGTTCCCTGGCCTCTGTTACATGCAAGATGATCACACAGTCCCTTGTAGCCTTAGAATCTATGAAAAGAACAGGAGTACTTGTGGCACCTTAGAGACTAACAAATTTATTAGAGCATAAGCTTTTGTGGGCTACAGCCCACTTCTTCGGATGCATATAGAATCTATGAGTCACGACTAGACTTGCCACCTCTGAGATACAAAATGCTGGGGCAGCAGGAAGGATCCTGAATCCATAGAACTGGCCAGCTGACTGTGTATTGAGCATCCTGACCGAGTTCCCAAGACAGCTATGTAAACAAGGGATGAGCTGGGAAAACCTGGGCAGGTGGGGAGCCTCATCCTGACTCACATGCTGGTGCTTTAACAAGACCATCCTTTCCCCCTTACTTCATGCAACGATTCCCTGATGACTGTTCCTCCCTCCCCCATGTGGCATTTTGACATCACATTCACACAGCGCTTTGCACTAGTGATTCACATTTTGCAACTATTCCTTTTCTTGCCACATCAGGGTTGAGAAATGATCCATAGTCCCGTAGCTCAGTCCTAGGCCGGGACTTCTGGCTGGTAGCAGGTGATGTCTGTTATGACACAGACCAGAGAGTATCAGTGGTGTGAGCCAATCAGTGGTAAGGGAGCGTGGCTTCCATCATTGCTAGGAGCTGCTGCCGGGGTGGGTATCAATTCGGCTGCAAGGTGAGTCTTATGATTCTAATTGTTTTTTAAATGCAAACTAGATCTGTGTACAGCAGCTGGCATTTTGGGTTTGCAATCCTTAATGCTGACTACTGGTTAGTGTAACTGCGTGCCTGCACCATGGGCTGTGCAGAGCCATCTGCGTACTGTCTGTTGGGATCGTACAGAAAGACATAATGGATTCAAGTAGAATTTTAATCTGCACATTAATTGCAAACTAATTAGCTTGAGTTGCTGCCTTTGTTAGGCACTGCACATCCTAGCCAGAAGTACAGCAGGTTAGGTCCTTCCTTAGCAGCGGAACCATGAGTCAAAGGCACAAGGATTGATAGCTGTCTCATACCTGTCTAATGGCTCTAGAGTAGGTTCTGCAAGGGATATCTGTGGCTCATTATGTACAGCGTGGTCATTGCTCAGGCGAGTTTCTTGTTAGCTGTCACGTGGACTGGATTCTCAGGGCCTTCCTGACAGCATACGCAGCCTAGACAGTCTTCAGAGATGCAACGCCACCTTGCTTGGAGATTTTTTCCAAAGCTGATTAGTGCTTTTTAGGATGAAGGCCGCAATTTCCGTAGTGTGAGAGAGGCCCCTTTTGTGATAAGATTAAATGGGGGAGAAGGGGCAAAATAGCCCCACAGCAACAAGCGAGGGAGGGTGACCTACATTTGAACGAGGAACAAAGGGTTCGGTTTCTAGGCTCTGGTCTTGCACTGCAGCACTCTGTGCCTCTCTGCAGGGGGATGCTCCGTTGCCAGTCTGTGTTAGACCTCATTGCTTGGGGAGGGCTATCCATTCAACTGCAAGCTGTGGGCTCCCTGCTCTGGCCCATGCTATGCAAGAGGTCAGACTGGATCATCACAAGGGCCCCTTCTGGCTTTGGAAGCAATGGCTTCCCTGCTTCTGCTGTCTGATAAGGCTGGGGCAACTCCTCACTTTATAGAGGGGAGAAGGGGGGAGGGGGAGGCTGGTTTCCTGTCTGAGTAGGTGCGACCACATGGATGCTCACCCCTTCCCTTGGCAGGTCTTGCAGCATTTTATCAGGATGCTGTGCACCTGCTAATCAAAGGGACAGAAGACACAAAACCCTGCTCCAAGGTGGGTGGTTCCTCCATCCCTGGCATCTGCATATCCCTCGCACAGACAGGCAGGGCCAAAGGCTGCTCCCAGCTGCCCTGCATTCTGCTGTAAGCCAGAGCACAGCCTGGCATGCACAGAGGTGCAGCCCCCAGGTTCCCATCTGGCAGGCTGAGTCAGGAGCTTGGCCAATGCCTCACCTGGGGCCTCAGGGTCACAGCCATTGGCTCTTCCTGCTATGCTTCACAGCCTCCTCCTGTGTGTGTTAATGTTTCTAACTTAGCCATTTTGGGTTCACATCGTCCCTTCTAGAAAAATCCTCCCCAGCAATAAGTGAGCACTGCGTGGTCCATCCACACTGGTTGGTGGGATCTATCTCCACTACTAAATGGCCAGGGAGTTTGAGGTTCTAGGAAAAACAAATGGGTCTTAAAGGAGAAACCAGAGACTAAGGAAGGTCAGGCCTGGTCATTACTTGGATGTAAGATCTCCCAGGAAAGCTCAGCCATGTACCAAGCAGAGTGGGTAACTTAGCATCAAGCCCATCTCAGCATGGAGCTGGGGGGTGATCTGTTGCTGCCTCTCATGCCACAGGGGGATGACTAACTTTCACAGGGGCAGAAGACTTTCAGTGTTACTTAAACTGAGTCTCAAACACTAGCTGCATTGTGCAGTGACTATTGCAAAAAGCCTAGAGGAGGAAGGGAAGTTGGTGGGTGATGGATCAGGGCTGTGGCACTAATTCACATGCACTTCTGACCATGTCACTGGGCTCCCAGGGGCCCTGATCCAAAGTCCAACACCACCAAGGGAAAGACTCCCAGTGGCTGTAATAGGGTTAGATCAGGCCCACATCACTCACGCTGTCTGCTTGGCTAGCATAGAGGGTGTGTGTGTTATAAACTGTTCTGCTAAGCTATGCTATAGACATCACTAGTGCAAAGAGGGCAAATGGAATAGAGAGTCATGAGAAACAAGACAGCAAATTAAATACAGACAGAATCATGGCGACAAATCCAAGTGTCTGCTCCGGGGTATGAATCATCACCGGACCTTGATTTAAGCAGAATAAGTTCAGCTTTGGCTCTCATTAGCCATGTGATCAATGCAGTATGATAGTAGGTCTCCCTCCTGCAATTGGATCTGCTGTCAAGGAGCCCAGTGGCAGGATTGGGGCCATATTTAACACTTCTATTGCAGTAGCAGCTGGAGGGGGCCCCATTGAACTAGCTTATTTTATTCTGATTTCTTGGTCTTCCTAGTCCAGTTCCCATTTCTGTGGGAAAGAGTCTCCACTCGTGAAGCCACTGGTGACTGGTCATCACTGGGTTGATAATGCAGACTCTGCAGGGTTGCATTGTTTTTGCAGCCCTAAAACAAACCCCACAGACAACTCCTGTCAGGAAACTATGGAGTGAGATTTTTGGAAGCAAGAACCTTCCTTGCCACAGGGAGTTGGGAGACGCTTTGCAATTCCACAGTGATGTCGGAGGGGCGAGAAGAGCAAGTCTTTAGACAGAAAGGAGTTCTTAGCCTTAACTAGAGCAGAGCTAGGACTCTGCTAGAGTTTACTGGCAACTAGGTCCCAATGGTCCCCAAGCCTGTGGTAGTTCAGATGCAGGACTTTGACTCAGAGCTAGTTCTGGGTTCCTGAACATCTAGAAATGTGTGGTTATAGGGAGGTAGTGGAGTCTAGTGGGTAGGGCACTAGACTGGGAGGCTAGAGACCCTGGGTTCCATTCCTCACCCTGCCAGTGGCCAGCAGGGCAACCTGGTCTGATGCAGTCACTTCCAGTACCAACAGTCACACAGTGAATGATTCCCCCTCATCCCAGAGCACCGCCTAGCAACAGGGCACCCTAACACCAGGGTTACCATCCCACACCCCTTCTCAAGCCCCAGAGGACTCCTCTCACCCCAATAAATATCCCTCTTGGGACCAGTTTATTACTGAACTACAGATTATCTAAACAGTGCAAATTATCCATAACCCAAAGTCCCAAAACACAGTCCATTTATCATCTCCTGTGCATATAGCCCTCGGGAACCCCAAACCATCTTCCCTCAGCATAGCACATACCGCGCTCCAGCATCTTTCACCACACCTGGACTCATCTTCAGTTCTCCTTCCAGCTGGAACGTGCCCCATTCTTCCCAGCAGGAACCTGCCCCAGCCTCTCTGCTGGGAGTTTAGTCTCCTTAGGAGATCAACCCTCACTCCCCCTGTTCTATTAAGCTCTCACCTCCAACAGGAGACCCTGGCACTGCAGGGCCGCCCAGAGGATTCAGGGGGCCTGGGGCAAAGCGGGAGAGCTGCAGCGCTTGTACTCACCCGGCAGCGGTCCGGGTCTTCGGCAGCATTTCAGGCTCCGCGACTGAAGGGCCCCTCCGCTGCCGAAATGCCACCAAAGCCCCAGACCGCTGCCGGGCCTGGGGCAAATTGCCCTGCTTGCCCCCGGGCAGCCCTATGGCACTGTCCCTCTGGGTTTCAGCCTCCTCTAGCACAGAGACATCACTAGGTAACAAATCTGCTACTATTCTGCCTTCAACTCTGGTCAATTCCTCTTACTGCTCTTCAACCCCTGGGACCTTCTCCCTTTCTGCCTCTCTCCGCTCCTTTATAGCCCAGGTGCTGCCCCCCCCACCTTCTTAACTGGCCAAACTGGGAGCACCTGTCCTGGTACAGGCGCTCTGGACCTGCTTCATTTAAAGGAACTAGCCAGCCAATGATACAAGTGTTCAGAAATCACAAGTCAGGTCCCCCTGCCACCATTCTCCTAAATGAGGTTGGCTTAAAATCATGATGTTTTTTAAATGATTTTTTTTGTTTCTGAAGTTGGAGACTTTAGGGGGTCACATTTCAGCGTTTTTCTCCACGAGCCCAAGAGCTAAGAACTTCCCTTTATAATAAAGGCAAACTGAGAGCCCCACATCATCCCAGGACTCCAGGAGCTGGGACTGTAAGAAAAGCACCAAATATTGCAAGGCTTGCCACAGAGTCACAAAAGTTGGACACACTGCCCTGCCTCCGTTTCCCCACCCATCCTTAGCCTGTCTTGTGTATTTGACATTGTAAAAGCTCTTCATGACAGCACCTGTCTCTATATGTATGTACAGCCCTTAGCACAACAGGGCCCTGAGCTGGGTGTTAATGTAATTTAAATACTAATCTAGGGACATCCTGCAGTCTGGAAGGAGGGTGGAGAGATTGGGGAAGATGAGGGAGCTAAATACTGCGGCTTGGCTGGCCCCTTTCAGATGGGAATCCTTCCCCCAACACACTCTTTTATTTCCTTGTTTCAAAGGCTCCTGGGATGTTGACACAGCGCAGCTGGGAAAATATGAAGATCTTGTGGCTGGCAGCGGTGGCGTGGTGTGTCCTAGCACCTCCAGCGCAGGCCAGCAAGGTGAGGGGCAGAGAGTGGGGAACAGTTACGGATGCAGTCACCAGCCTAAGATGCCACATGCACCTGAGACAGGGACGATAGGGAGTGTGCTTTTTCACGGAAGTTTGCAAAGGTGGTGGGTATTGTAACAAATTGGCGTGTGTGTGTGTGTGTGGGGAGGGGGTGTATGGCACTGCCTTCTTCAGGATGGAACTGGAACTGCTCACCTTTTGTGTCATGTGCCCTATACCGCAAACAGCTAGTGGAGATTCTCCTTCAGCCTGTGCTTTTGGAGCTGGAAGATTTGAGTTCTAGCCCCACTGTCAGTGAAGATCTGAACAGCCAAGGTAGTGGGAGATTCAGTCCCTATAACAATCTGTTTGGAGAGCTCCTGGCATCTGGCTGAAAGATGTCATTGCTATGAAACATGCAGCGCAGGAAGAAGAGTCATGAAGGAAAGTTATCCCTCATTGGGGAACATCTCGCCCGTCTCATGCCATGTGGGGGAACTCATTGAACAGCTGCTCATGTGCCAGTCACTAATGCCAACTCCTCTCCCCATGCAGAGCTCGGAGGACATCCGCTGCAAGTGCATCTGCCCCCCATACCGGAACATCAGTGGGCACATTTACAACAAGAATGTGTCACAGAAAGACTGGTGAGTTACCCTCTTATGGGAGGCTTTTAGGGTTCCCCTGTCAAAATAACGAGGGGCTTGACCCAGGAAGCCCGGACCTGGATCTGACACCCCTGAGGTTCAAGGGTGTTGGGCTTGAAACTGAGTTCCGTCCTTCTGCAATGGAAATAGGTCAGAGACCATGTGTAACAGCTCGTGCTGGGTGGAGCTGCTTAGCTGAGCCCTTGCTAGCTATTTACACACCACCAGTCTCTGCACCGCATGGTGATGGGCACTCTGCTCATCTAGAGAGAGACAGGAGTCTGGCAGACGGGGTTCCATGGCCCTGCACCCTCTGGAGAGTCTAGTATCCTGTAGCCCTTGTGCTCTGAGGATGACAGCGGAAAGGCTTTAGTACCGTCTTAACCCCCTCCCCTGGAACAGCTGAGCTGTTAGTGTAGTTCTCAAAGCACTTTACAAAGTATCATTAGCCAGATATTGCCGATGGGGAAACTGAGGCATTAAGCTGAGGAGTGACTTGCAATGTTACATAGCGAGTCAGTGGCAGAGCTGGGAACAGAACCCAGGAGTCCTGAGTCCTAATCCCCTGAATTGACCACTAGACCACCTTGCATAATAAAGAATGAGAGAAGAAAGAACCTAAACATGTGTGATCATAGAATCATAGAATATCAGCGTTGGAAGAGACCTCAGGAGGTCATCTAGTCCAACCCCCTGCTCAAAGCAGGACCAATTCCCAACTAAATCGTCCCAGCCAGGGCTTTGTCAAGCCTGACCTTAAAATCCTCTAAGGAAGGAGATTCCACCACCTCCCTAGGTAACCCATTCCAGTGCTTCACCACCCTCCTAGTGAAAAAGTTTTTCCTAATATCCAATCTAAACCTCCCACACTGCAACTTGAGACCATTACTCCTTGTTCTGTCATCTGGTACCACTGAGAACAGTCTAGATCCATCCTCTTTGGAACCCCCTTTCAGGTAGTTGAAAGCAGCTATAAAATCCCCCCTCATTCTTCTCTTCTGCAGACTAAACAATCCCAGTTTCCTCAGCCTCTCCTCATAAGTCATGTGCTCCAGCCCCCTAATCATTTTTGTTGCCCTCCGCTGGACTCTTTCCAATTTTTTCACATCCACCTGATTGCATCCACCTGATCGGTTTAAAATACCCACAATGCACCACTGCAATAAGTGTATCTGTGCCATACCCAAAGGCCACAGGGCCTTTCCTTCTCTGGTTTGCTCTTTGGTTACTGAAGTTGGCAGCCTGACCGTTTCCCCAGCATCTCTGTCTTGCACAGCTGCAGGGCATTGTCCTGTGCACAGGGTGCCCTCTACAGACAGGAGAAGAATCACCTCCCACTTGAAGTCATCACCTTTCTGTTGCAAACAGGAGGTGAAGTAGGGAAGCAAAGAACCAATTTCAGCTTCTTCATGGCATTGTGGTTAAGGCACTAGATTGTGTGGTGGTTGGGGCTGTGCCTTTAAGGGCTGGGAACTGGATGCTGAACAAAGCATGTCTCTTGCAAACATTTTAACCACTGGTGATACCCGAACACCCTACACGGGCGGGTCAGGAGACCAGAGTTCAAGTCTCTGTTCTGCCACAGACTCTCCTGGTGACCTTGAGCAAGTCACTTATCTCTCTGGGCCTTGGTTCCCCACCTGTACAATGGGGATAATATTTCCCTACCTTCAGGTGACAGTGGGGTTACATTCACCTGTGCGTGACAGATATTGCAGTTGTGAGGATCCCATAAGTAGACAGATGGATAAATTCATGGCTTTCACGAGCAATTCACACTTTGCCGCAAGCCTGGCTCTCTGCTCTGTAATACAGGGGTAACTCCACTGACTTCAGTTACCCTGAGCAGAGAATCAGATCAGCTCCCTTCCTTATGTTCAGAATTAGTCATTTTCCCTGCATTCCATTTGTTCGGATTATGCACATCTGTGGGATTTGCAATCTCGCAATGGCCCATGATTGGCATAGCAGGGGGGCTGTGGCCTGGTACACTGGCAGAGCTGGGGGTGGAAGAGGAAAAACCAGCTCAGTACCTAACCATCCCATACCTGCACTCTCAGCAACTCTGTAATTGGCTCGTTCCTGAGTGCTAACGTCATTTGCCAAATCCCAGGGCTAAGAAGAAAGTGTCCGCGCTGCGGGGGTGTCCTTTGTGGGTGTCTGCACAGGGCCATGATCTCTTTGAAGCTGCAACCTGGATTGAACAAAGGCCCTTGAGCATCAGTGAGCAGACTGTTCCTTATCTAATGACCTCTTTATGCTTGTATTTAGGCTGGTTTACATAGCAGTGTATATTTCACACCCTCGGGGGCATGGGGTGAGACTTTATTCTGTTAAAATATGGGGCATTTTGCTGACTCATTTACAGGGAGGCATTTTGCTGAATCATTTCCTTTTCCTTGTCATTCCATCGCCTTTGATTTCCAGTTTTATAACACGTTTCATACACAATCAGAAGGCGGGACTTTAATCCGTTCTCAAGGACCATTTTTCTTACTTTGCTTATCTGTAAATGTTGTTTCTTATCAGTAAATGTAAGTAAACATCAGTTTCGCCAAACACACACAAACCAAGGACAGAATATTTCCATCAATAGTAATCGAAATGTACAGACAGGCAAAGTAAGAAAAATGCTCCTTGAGAGCTCATTAGAGTCCCACCTTAAAATGTGTTGTAAAGCTGGAGTTAGAGCAGGGCACCAGTTAGGTAGCTTTAACTTTTTGAATCTCAACATCTACTGTCATTAAATAATTATTGTCTGCCCCCTCCAGGATTTCCCGCAACTGTGAACATTTAAATCACTAAAAATTGAAAAAAGTGCTTCAGAATCAACATCACTATTATCTGTCAAGATTATAAAAAAATAAAAATTAAATGGTGCCAAGCCTAGGCACAGAGATCTGTTAGTTTATGTCAGGAGAGCGACAGGACTGAGGGGCTGAAAATTACAATGATGGGCCATTAACTGAGTAAGTTAGAGCTACTTAGCCTCATAATTTCTACTCATCAGGTCAGTGAAGCTAGTTTCTCACCAGGATCCTGTCTATCTGCACCAGTTCTCTCTTGGCATAGGCCACAGCTACAGTTTTTTTTCACTGATTTGACTATTTCCACAAGGGGGAAGAGGGTGTTTTTCTCCAGAACCAATTAAATCAGAGCAGCCCCGAGCGTAGACCCAGCTATACTGCTGTACAGGTGCCTTTTACCTGGGTAGCTTCTTCCCTTTCTTGTAGGGGCATAACTATACCAATACAAGCACCTTGATACTGAGAGGGCTGCAGCCACACCGGGTGCACTGAACAAAATAGGAAGAAGCACAAGAGACCAGAACAAATGGTTCTGGGCCAGAGCCTCACCTGGTGTAAATCATCATAGCTCTGTGGCGATCACCAGAGCTCTACTGATTTACACCCGCTGAGGGTCTGCCCCATGACTCTCCTCCCGGCAACGGGATGCTCATCTGTATGATACTGTCCACCCACTAGGTAGCACGGTGTGTAACATGCCTTATGTAACCTAACCTCAGCCATGCTGGTGTGGCAGAGGATTAAAGGCCCTTGCACTGAACACAGCTGGTGGGGCTCTCTGAGAAGGAAGCTCTGTAGCCAGTCCATATCTGGCACAGACTCGGAGCCTGACCTGCTAGGAGCAGCCCTGCAACCCACCATGTACAAGAAGTACGTGCTCCTCCCCAAACGCCAGGTTGCAGTGAATTTACACTGTCAAGGGTTTTTCCCCGTGTGTGTGTTTAGTGGTTCGTGGGAATCAGCGACAGTGACGAGCCAGGCTGTCGGCCTCCACTGTGTGCTGCTAACATGAAAATCTGGGGCCACAGCTAGGCTTCAACATTTGCCTCCGAGGGAGCACAGGGAGCAGCATGTCCTGGACAGGCAGAGCTGGGGCTTGTTCCTGGCATGCCCTGCCAAAGCCGCTTCTCTCTTCCTGCAGTGCACGGGAATTGAATGCCTTTGAAAGGGGTGAGGTCTGGGAGCTACTGAGGAGAGCAAGGCACAGTGCACCTGTCTGCATTGTGCCATAGCTCCACACTGCTCTGCCGGTGTCCTTCAATCCTGACCCACAACCCCCCTGCTAGTCCAGCCCTGGACTCCACACACATTGCTCGCCTCTGCCCACGCCCCTCAGTCCTCACATCAGCAACGGTGCCAGGCCTTGTTCTCCCCCAAAAGACTGTCATGTCATGGTGCTGTGTCATGTGACCATACATCATTCACTGACTAGGCTGAGGCCAGAAAACTCATTGCACTTGTGACCTAACCCAGGGTTTGCACCCGTGTGCTCCTGGGGGTGCCTAGAAGCTGGAGCCGGCTCAGATCTCTGAGCAAGTGGAGCCAGTCGCGTGGCTGGCCTGACTGGAGCCTGCGGGATCTGTTTAACCCCAGAGCAGGGACAGCAGCAGGGCAAGATTCCCCCCAAGCCACCCCTACGCCTCAGCCCTGCCCCTCTCTGGGGGAAATCAGCCTCCAGGGCCCATTCAGGCCTTAGCCTCTTTGCTCAGAGGGCTAATTAGCGTGGGGTGGCTTTAGAGGCACAGCCACCTGACCCCAAGGCACTCGCTGAGGCCGTCCTCCTCCAGCCCCAGCTCCGGGGGCGAGTATCTGGGGCACCCAGAGCTTCAGCCAGCCCGCGGCCACCTCCCGTGTAAAGTGATCTGAGCAACTGCTGAGCTCTCCCAGCTGGACTGAGTACAAAGGGGCTGCTGGATGCAGACAGGCCTGGTGGTTCTCCACCAAGCTATTGGCACTGCCTAGCATCACCACTAGGGTTCTCCATGATGGCTGGCCGCGCTCTGGGCCCCAGAATACAGGCACCTGCCAGGAGCTCAGCCACCTGCCCCACCCCGCCGCTGACTCCGGCTCCTTTGTGACGCAGCAACTGCCTGCACGTGGTGGAGCCGATGCCAGTGCCGGGGAACGACGTGGAAGCCTACTGCCTGCTGTGTGAGTGCAAGTATGAGGAGCGCAGCACCACCACCATCAAGGTAAAGACGGGCCGCTCGCGCTCCTGCCCCACACGCCCCCGGGCAGAACCGCAGGGGCTGGACGTGGGACAAAGGAGATTGCTCTAGGGGCCTGATGCCTGTTCTCCATGCAATGGGGGAGGAAGGGATTCCTCGCTTGGATTCTTTCTTGTCCTCCAGCTTGGGGAGGGGCATAGTAAAGACTTTCCACCCCCCTTCCCCACACCCCTTTCCCTTGTTGGGTCTGGTCTGGGGATGACGACACTGACCCCCTCCCCTTTGGGAAGGATGTCGACATTGGGAGATGGAGCAGGGCGCCCAGCTGCTGTTATTATTGTGAGTAGCTGTGAGGTGGCCCTGGCTTGGGAGCCTGGCCAGGCTCCTCCCATGGCCCCCTTCCCCAAACACCGCGTCAATCTCCTCCTCCCTGCCGAGCCCTCCATGCAAAGCCCCCTGCCCTCCTGGTTCCTCTTTCCTCCCCGAAGAAATCAGCCCAGTCTCACTCCCCTCCACTTTTATCACCAGCCCGCTCCGGGCCACCCCCAGGTGTCTGCTCTCAGGCCTGCCAGCAGGTGCAGAGCACCCACTAATTTTTCCCCGTGGGTGCTCCAGCCCCAGAGCACCCATGGAGTCAGCGCCTATGTCTGGGAGGGAGGCTGGGATGGGAGCCCCAGTCCACCTCACTGAGGCGTTGCCAGACTGCAGCACAGCAGGGGCCCCTCTAGCCTGGTATCTTGGCTCCGACAGTGCCCCGTCCTCCATCCCGTGGATAGTTATGGACTGAGCTGCCCATTGGCGGGGGGGTGAGGGGGGCGGGGATGTTTCCTCCTGAGCCCATCAGTTGGTGGGTTGGCTTGGGGAGGAGGCTGTCTGGCCCCCAGCCCTGCAATCGCCACCGACGTCCCAGAGCCCCGTTTGATGTGCCCACAGATCATCATCATCATCTACCTCTCGGTGGTGGGGGCGCTGCTGCTGTACATGGCCTTCCTCATGCTGGTCGACCCCTTGATCCGGAAGCCAGACGCCTACACCCAGCCCCTGCACAATGAAGAGGAGAACGAGGTCAGGGGGCTGCAGCGGGTGATATGGAGGGTGGTGGGCATGTAGGAGAACCTAGAGGAGGAGAGAGAGCAGGGTTAGCTCCTGGGAACGAGGGCAGGCAGACACCAGGGGTCATTATAGCTGATGTTTCTCATCTCCCATCCCACCTGGATCTTGCTGGGGCTCAGGGCCGGCTCCAGGCACTAGCTTAACAAGCAGGTGCTTGGGGCGGCCAAGGGAGAGGGGCGGCACCTGCGGCAATTCGGGGGCGGTAGGTCCCTCGCTCCCTCTAGGAGCGAAGGACCTGCTGCCGAACTGCCGCCGCCAATCGTGGCTTTTTTTTTTCCCCAATTGCCGCCCCCGGTCGCGTCCGCGGCTTTTTTTTTTTTTTTGCTTGGGGCGGGGCAGAAATGCTGGAGCCGGCCCTGCTGGGGCTGGCACTTTTTACATGCCAACTAGAAATGTAGAATTTTTCGTTCTGTTTTATTTTTTAAATCCCGGATCTTGGTCCACGTGATGCTCTGAAATGTGAAGCCTGCAGCTGCAGGTTTCCTAGGGCCCAGAGTGGGCCTGCCCGGGGCGGTTAGCAGGGGAGTTTTGTGGTCCTGCCCATTTGCGAATTGGACTGATTTTCATTTGCTGAATTGTGGATCGGATCCAAACAAAATGCAAACTGCTCCCATCTGTGTGCAGCCCTGGCGGCCCCCACCTGGCAATACCCTTCTAGAGGGGTGCAGGAGGAGGGTGATTTGGTGAAGGCCCAGACAGTCCTGGGAGGCAGGAGAGCTGCATAGAGGAGCTGACAAAGCTAGAGCTGGTGCCTTTTGACTCTGCGGGGGTGCCAAGGGCTGCACCCCAGACCCCCTACTCCAGGGGCCCCACCTGGACCAGGAGCTGCACTCAGGCCACACCCGCCTTTGACAGATCCCACTTGGTTGCATCTTAGGGATCAGCAGTTGATTGGGCCTTTGTGCTGATGGGCCTCGATTGGGCCATTGATTCCCCCTTAACATCCAGTCCCACTCTGCCTGCTTTCACTCAGGCCTCAACCTGTCTCATGCCGGGGAGGGGGTTGGTGGTTTTTTATGCTGTCCCCACGGCCAGGCCCTGTATTGTTTAATCCTTCTCCTGCTAGATCCCTGCATCCATACAGTGCCCTGGGCTCCGGGGTGAGGGGATGCATGTGCCCCATTATTACAATTGTTCTTCCTTTTGGAGGTGACTTTCTAAGCCAGAGAACACCCAGCCCTCAGCAGCTCTGACCGCTGCCCTGTCTTGCTCGCCATAAACACGGGCTTGGTTTTCAAATCGGCTTGGGATGTTTCCCGCGGTAACGTCCTGGCTTTGCATATGAGCCAGGGAGTGATGTGAGGATAAAGGACCTGCTACTGCTAGTAGCTCAGGGAGATCTCCTTTAGCTCTGGTGGATTTTAGAGAAGGATCAGCACGTGTGAGATTGGCAAACAGCTATCACATCACACGTGGTCTTGCTGCCACACCTCTGTCCAAAAGCCACTGGTCCTCTCCTGAGCCCAGCCCTGGACTCAGGCAACGCTTCCATTGACTTCCGTGTGGATTTCAGAGCCAGGGCACCAGGATTAGGCCCTGTATATCCTGCCTTGTCTGTCCCCCACAGCTCCCATCGCTTGAGCAGGGAGGCCACCACGTCCCAGCCCCCAGAGGAAACGTAGATGAAGCTGGTTATTAGTGGATGGTAATGGTAGTCCAGGTGGCAGGGGGAGTGGAGCTGATGCACACAGTGATTAGCTGTAATGAGCTAATTGTAGCCCTGGCTCACGCTATAATTGAGAGATGCAGGGGGTGAATTATGGAAGGTGAAACGTGCAGTTCTGGGGCCCAGCATTTCCTTTAGGTGTCGGTTGTTTGGAGCTGCTCCATGAGCCGGGACCATGGTGCTGGACAAACTGGGGTTGTGTTGATCGCTAGATGATCCCTTCCCAATCAATGGAGCTTCTGGGCTGAGGTTATCATGGCCTCTAGGAGCCACCCTGGCTGCAGTCTCCAGGCCAGCTCAGTCCTGAGCAGACTACCCAAACAAGGGCTGGCCCAGGAGCCTAGCGGCTGCCATTTCACTGCCATGGTGCATGCCCAGGTTCTAAGGTCAGGCCCTGCCTCCCAGGAGAGAGACAAGGCAGAGAAATGGGGTGAGGCAGCCCCCTTGGCAGGTGGAGCCATCTCAGACCCTTCCAGACAACCCCTTCTGTGTTCCCTAGACAGTCACCCTCCTCAGCCAACAGCCTGGTTACTACCAGCAGGGGCACAAGGAGGATAGGGAGGGGATGCGGACAGGTGAGAGAGAACAGCCATTGAAGGGATGGTGCCGAGGCCTTGAGAGGGGGCAGAACTCGCTGTATCCCGGGTGCTGAAAGCTCCCAGCTGCCCTCAGCCGGAGGCGAGTCTCTGCCCCCAGGCCATCTGACGCTGGCTCCGCCCAGCCATGCTGAGCTCTAGTGTGAGACGCTGCGTGCCACCGGCGGCACTGGGCATTCACCAGTCACTGTCCCAGCCCTGCAGCGGGGACGGCCCTAGGGATGGATTGCGTGCAGCACGTCTGGGCCCCTCGCCTCAGTGTTAACAGGCCCTGGAGGAGCCCACCCTAGGTCAGGCAGAGGATTACCAGGATATGGGGCCTTAAGGAGTCAGGTGGGGGAAGAGTTTCGACCCCAGGCCACGTCGCTGAAGGCAGGACACGAGCTCAGCTCCCCCTGGTGCAGTTGTACCCTTAGAGCACAGCCTGCTCTTCAGTGGGGCAGGGGAACCCAATGTGAACTTTGGGGAGAGCCCCCTTCCCTGTCCCAGCCAGGGGCAAGGGACGGTTCCGCAGGACGGGATATGCCCCAAGTGCTCAAGGGCGCTTGCCCACGGCGGCCTGGTGTCCCTGCAGCCGTTTGTGTTGAGGGGACCTTCCTCACTGCGCCTGCCCCTGTGCGCTAAGAGAGCACCGCTCAGGAGTAAAATGAAAGACACCTGCCTTCCTTTCAACTGCCTAGCAGGGCCCCCTGCTAGCTGCTGGGCGCATCCCCTCCCAGCGGATTAGCTGTAATCCAGGTGCCCGGACACGCTTTGAAGAGAGGAAGCCAGTGTGTTTGCTGAGAGGGTGTGTGACCAGCCTGGACATGTTCAGAAACACTCCACCCTCCCTGGGACTGATCATGGGGCACCCACACGGTGATTGACAAACACTAATGGGGGAAGATTTGGTCTATGCAACGTGAGGCTAGCAGAGCCCAGAAATCTATTTGTCTGCTCAGTGCTGCGATACAACCACTGGGCCCCATTCTCATTTACACACTAGTGTATTGTTCTAGCCCCACTGCCTTTCCAGAGCACCCCCCTAGCAGCACTCCAGTGCAACAGCCACTCCACCTCAGTTCCCCAGCTTGTCTTCCGCTGCTCTACCTCCAAAGCCTTCTGGGTTGCAGAGGGTTAGTCCTCCCCCTGGCTCCTATATGGTCCTACTTCTCCCGGGGCTCTCAAAGTCCAAAACAAGTATGAAACAACACATACTCTTCCCTTTCCTCCAGGGGATCTGCGAGGCACCAGCCTGTCCCAGTCCTGACCCTCAGCTAGCAACCTTCCCACACCAACTGCTCTCTCTGCCTGCTTCCCTACAACTGGTCAGGGCTCTTCTTTTTATTAAGCTCCTCCCTGGAAGCCTCCTGCTCCAGGTGACTCCAATTTGAGCTAACTGGGCTGCCAGGAGTTAATTAATCCCTTCCTGCCGTGCATGGAGGCTTCTGTGTAGCTTTGGGGAAGGGATGGAGTGGGGGCAGAGCAGGGCTGGGAAGAGGCAGGGCTGGGGCGGAGCAGGGGCAGGGCTTTGGGGAAGGTGTGGAGCTGGGTGGAGCAGGGGCAGGGCTTTGGGGAAGGGGTGGAGCAGGGGCGGGGCAGGGGCTCTGGGGAACAGGTGGAGTGGGGGCAGAGCAGGGGCAACTTTCCTGGCTGGCTCAGCGGGCCACGGGATGGGGCTGGCCGCTGGAGCAGCACGCAGCTGCGTAGGGCACCAGGCAATTTGGGGCAAAGTCCCCGCCCCAACTGGACTCCTTCCCCAAATCCCAGCCCCAGCCCTGCCTCATCCTCTGAGCATGCTGTGTCCCCACTTCTCCTCCCAGCACTTGCTGCCGCAGCTGTTTTGCGGCGTAACAAGCTGTGGGAGGGAGGGGGGAGGAGTGGGAACGCGGCACGCTCAGGGGAGGAGGCGGGGAAGAGGTGGGGCTGGGGTGGGGATGGAGTCCAGTTGGGGCGAGGACTTTGGGGAAGGAGTTGGAATGGGGGCAGGGCAGGGGTTGAGTCAGGGCCGGGGGGGGGGGCGCGGGTTGAGCACCCACCGGCGCCAGGAGAAGTTGGCGGATGGGCCCTGGCCGGCATGACCTATTCAGCTGCTCCAGAATCCTTCATTTTAAAACCAGTAAGTGTCTAGGATTCATGGCTGAACCTTCCACATGGGCCCCAAGTGTAACCAGTGCAGTGATATCTGCCTGACTCTGCAGACAGCCAGAAACAACTCCCCTGTCCCAAGTTCCCAACCCAGAGGACTTCACTCCCCCCCCCTAGCCCCGTTCCATCTCTGCTTTGTCCCTGTGTTCTCCCAGCACCAGGTTTTTTGCACCTAAACTCTGAAGCTGCCTTTCACCCACAAAAAACAGACACATGCTTCCTTCTAACTGAGGAACGACAAACACCAGATCTGAGAGAGAGAGAGCACAGTGTGTGTGTCTCCTCTGTAACATGCTGCACCTGCACTGAGCCCACAATGGCAGCAGACTCAGCGCTGTGGCTCAGAAGGCCCATGGTCATTTGTACCATTTTCCAGCATGCCCAGAGCAGCTTACACCTGAGAGGAGCTTAGCCCAGCTCCTGTTGGCTGGGGAAGGGAGCAGCTTGGAGAGCAACTGCTGCAGAGCATGAGGGGTCTGGCTAGCAAGTGTGCCGCACACACTCTCAGAGGGCATCTGGATCTGCTGGTGGGATAGCCCTTGTTGGGGGTCCACTCCTCCTTCCTGCTAACACGACATCTTCCAGAGTCATGAGCGAAGCACTGAGCATAGATCAACGTTTGGTCTCGTTAGAGCAAATGAGAGTTGGATCACTGACTTCATTGGGACCAAAGCTGGGATGAACAGCCATGGACTTCAACCCCTTCAGTGCTGGTCCTGCAGTTCCTGCGCTGCCGTGAGAGCAATGGACCATCAGATGGATCTGACAGCAGACTGAAGCCAAGGAGTTAATCACCGACTTGTTCCCCGCCCCACACACACACACACACACACACACACACACACACACACACACACACCTTTCTTCCACACCACTGCTCTGCTCCCTGCTAAGCCTGGCAGCTGTGCAGCCTTAGAAGCCGTGCCCTCAGGGCGCTGCAAAGGAAGGTGCAGTTAGTGGGCGGCTCTCAGCGAGGCAAATGAGGCATGTTAATCCCTTATGAGGTATGTGGCAGCAGAGGAGAGGGGCCCGGAGCCGTTCAGGAAATCCCTCCAGGAACTGGGGAGCCATGCTGAGCTTCAGCACAGAGATAGCCCCAGCATCTCCGGCTGCGGTTACAGGAAGTAATGCTTCCTTTTGATGGAGAGATTTTGTGCAAGTTTATGTGGCTGGGAAGGACTGAAATGCAGCAGCCCCGAGACAAGGAGGGCAGGGGGAGATTCCTGGGAGAGGAAGGGGAATGGGTGCGAGGGAGTGGAAAGCGAGGAGTCTGAGGGGAGGGAATTCACATTAGCAGTGTGGAGCACTGGCCCTTCTAGTTGCTGGCCTAAAGAAAGGGATAAGAGCCTACTACAGGTACCTCCTAGGGGAGCTGCTCCTTTAGCTCCAGTGCTGGAGGCCTGTGCTTTTAGCACGGGTGATCCTAGCTTTAAGCCCAGTTACACTGAGGACCCAATCCTCCAGTATGAGTCGGTGGGAGTTGGGCACCTCTGAAAATCAGGCCCTCTCTCTGCAAGGAAAACTCAGTCCCAAAATAGCTCTTCATGTAAAAGTGTCTCTGAACGCTGAGCAGCCTGTTTCTGTATTAGAGATATCACTCCTCCACCCCACTCACCCCCTTGACCTCCTGGTTCCTTCTCTTTGCATTGCAGGAGGCCCGCTCACTGGCAGCAGCTCCCGCTCCCACCGGCGCCAGAGCCAACACGGTGCTGGAGAGGGTGGAAGGAGCCCAGCAGCGATGGAAGCGCCAGGTGCAGGAGCAGAGGAAGACGGTTTTTGACCGACACAAGATGCTGAGCTAGAGCAAGCCAGGCATGAAGTGACAGCCCGCTGGGGACAGGCAGCTGCAGCGTAGTGGGGATAGGCCATGTCTGTCTCACCCAATAGGACCCCCCCCCCAGTGTTTAGTTTGAGCCCCCCAACCCATCCTCCCCACTGTATTGGCTTTCATAGAGCAAACAAGGCCAAAGTGCCTGCCCATGACTATGCCCTCTACCCCCTTTGCAGCCTAAGCCAGAGGCACCCTGAGCTTTGCCCAGCTGAGGGCCCCATTGACAACTGCCCTCAAATGGCCCCAAAGGAACCCCAGTGCAGCCACTGTCATCCTTAATAAGGAGACTGGCAGAGACTACAGCTCCCAGCATGTACTGCTCCAGCTAGAGTCCAGCGGTCATGACAGAGTGCTCCACGCTGGGACCTGTCGTTTCTGCCGGCTGCACCTCGGTGTTAAAAGTTGTGGCAAAGGTGAGACCCAGTTTTCAAACTCCTTTGCCTGCATTTGGCGCTTTGCGTGCCCCTCTCCGGAAGCATGTCATGTGGCATGAAATAGCCTTGAGCGAGGGCATTGTAATCTCTGGGGAATCCTTGTCCCTTGCCTCTTCCTTTGAGCTATCGTGTAACAATCTGCAGGCTGGAGCAGTCAAAGAAAACTATTTAATGAAACAAAGCTGGTTTCAGCGCATTCCTGGCTTACAAGGGAGAGATACCTCAGCACATGGCTTCTGCCAAACCTGTTCTGCCACTGTGCTGTCAAGACACAGCCCACTGGTCTTAGCTGAGGGGCTGTGAACCCAGAGAAACCAACAAGGGAGGAAAGCTTGTGTCTGTGCTGGATGAAATAAGCCAGTTCTGTACATGTGGGAGCTAGGATGCAGCTTGTCCTCCCGTAGAGCTCATTTTCAACAGGAGGCAGGATTATTTATTATTTATGGATATTATTTACACTGTCTCCCAGTTCTACTCCATGGCAGGGCACCAAATATTCTACCATGTACCACAGGGAGCCAGTCTCTCACCTGGGGTAAATTGGCATAGTTCCACTAAGGTCAGTAGAGCTACCTTCATTGACAGCAGCGGAAGATCTGGCCCCAGAGCCTTTTCTGTAAGGACGCTGCTCTGGACACAAGAGGCCTGGTTCTCCTGTCAGGATTTGCACTGGTGTGAATGAGAGGAGAATCCAGGCCTTTGAATTCAGCTGCTGCTCTCATTTACTCTGGTGTAAATCCGCAGTAACTCCACTGACGTCAATGGGGTCTCTCCAGATCTACACCAGCGTCACTGAGATCAGAGTCTGGCACCTGAGCCTTCTGTCTAACTGAGCATTGTGAAATTGACAAGCGTTGGGTACTAACAACCCAAGGAGCCCTTGGGGGGGGGGGGGGGGGAGAGAAGAGAAGGCCTGATTCTCATTTACACTGAGGCCATTTTACTCCACTTTAGCCCTGCACAGTGGGAGTAAGTTACAGGCTTGTTTACACTGGCAGAGCGAGGCACAGGGCCATTAGTGTCAATTTTCAGAGTAGCAGCCGTGTTAGTCTGTATCCGCAAAAAGAACAGGAGTACTTGTGGCACCTTAGAGACTAACAAATTTAGTGTCAATGAGACTTTAGAACAAAGGTTTCACTATGTTTAGCAGGTCTGGAACCTAAGCCCCTCCTGCTCTCTGGATCACAGAGCCCTGAACATTTACTAAAGATGCACTTTAGTTTCCGTAATGCATAGAAGAAACTGTCTGAGATCTTTGACTATGGTAAGTATTCCTGCTGTGTGTGAGAAAGCAAAGTAATTAATTGGTGTATTTATTCTTCTGTTACTCCAATTTGTTTTCCCATCAAGAAAGTCTGCTAAGTGCTTGAGTTTTGTTATCATGTAGCATCGCTTCTTTAAAAAGAAAGAAGGGAGTGTGTCACTTGAGTGGCTTTTTTTAACTGAATACCTTTGCTGTGTAAGAATTAAAATATTACATGCTAGGCTGCAGATCCCTGGTTTTCAGAGCAAAATTAATTGCGGCCAGGGAAGAGGAGAAAGGGGGGCAATGGGTACTATTGGCAGCTGGGGGAAGGGAATATAAATATAACCCAAAATTTCCCTGTGCTCTCCCAGCCTTATGTTAAACCTCTGCCCAGGCTCAGCAGATGTGCAGGGCTTACCCAGTCAGATAATGGGATTCTCTGACCTGTGCTATGCAGGAGGTCAGACTCAATAATCAGAATAGCGCCTTCTGACCTCAGCATCTAGGCTGTTAGCTAAAGGCCTAATCCCAAAAGGTTCTGAGAAACTGCTTTGACTTCAGTGGTAGCGGAGAGTGGGAAGAATACTTCACGGGGTACTTAGGACTGGATCCTGCAGAGGGCTAACGAAATATATGCTGTCAGCCAAAATATAAAGAGCCCTCCTGGTTTATTTTGAGCCTGCATCCCTGGATCTCCCACACAAAAAACCACAGCAAAGGTCTCATAAGTGCTTTTCTGGGGACCAGGGGCGACGGGCAGCCATGGCTTGGTGTTACACCAGGGATAAATATGGCCCCATCCATTCGACAGGCTTTCATATCATCCTACTCTAAGGCCCAGGTGCACCTGTCTTTTACAAGGTAAATTTCTTTTCTGTATTTGCATCTGCGTCCTCAGCATGAAATTCACCACTGATGCCCTGTGCCTGCTCCCTGAGGCTAGTCTGTCGTTGCAGCAAAATAAATCTATTTAAAATTTATGGATAGTTGTGAACAAGTATCCTGGATCAGAACTCCCCTGGGTTTAGTGGTATGGTTCCAGCTAATGTTGTGGATCCAGCTAGTGGCCAGATAGAGCCTTTTGCTGCTCTCAGCTAGTGGAGTTACCCTTATGGCTCACATGTAGAAACGTGCTCTAGTGCTGAAACTCCAGGGTTCACAGCCCACTGCCTGTCCAGGCTAGGTGTTTAATTCACTGCAGACTGCTGGGTGGCAAAACATGTAGCCATGTGGAGGCCCTAAAGTCTCCTGGCATCTCTTATGGATGGGGAGCAATGCTTTCAGTGAATACCCCTGCTCCCCTAACATGCTTTGTGAGCATCCCAACAGCCAGACACTTCCTGCCCTCACCACGTATGGCCACAATGTGGGTGACAATCCAAGGTGAATGGTGCCTCTGAAATTAAGGTTTTATACAGCGGCACAGCCTGGCTCAGCCCTGGGGTGCGGCAGGATCCGGAGCCACAGGGTGTCCCTTAGCCCAGAGACAAGCAGCTGGAGAGCCCGAAGGTTATAACCAAGCAGGTGCAGCTGTGAAAATAAACAGGGGCCTGTGGTAATTGTGCTTCCTGGCTTTACCTGTAATCACAGCTGTACTCGCACTTCAGTTCTGGTCTCAGGAGAAATCTGCTTTTGGCCAGAAGAACCCAGTCCCGTGGAGACCTTGCAGATCTGAACATTCAGAAGGTTTCCCCCCTCCCTGGCTTCAGGCAGCCTCAGCAGCTGTGTGGAATAAAAAGCACTATGGGAGATGGGTTGGGCTTGGAACATGGGGCAGATTGGCAGGGAGGATGAGGACTTGGTTTAACCAGGGGAGAGAGACACTCTGCAAGCTAATACTCAGGAGAACGCTGAGTAACCGTATACGCTCCAGCTAACCAGAACCCTGTGTTAACTGTCCTGCAGGGGTATAATGGGCGAGTTAACGCCAGCCTACCCCAGGACATGCACTAGGTCAGTGGCACAGCTAGGGTCTCCCAATTCCCACTACAGGGATCTAGTCACTGGACCATCACAGCCCTCACCTCACCAGCACACTCTACCCTGGCTTCCCATAGAACAAGGAAATGTCAGGGGCTCAGTCCTTCCCTTCAAGGCACTCAACAGCCTGTGCCCAAGCTCCCTAAAAGAGACTAAAGCCCCAGGGTGAGCACGAAGGTCAACAGGTCTTCTCCTCCACCACAAGCTCATCTGTGGAGGAGACAGAGCTTCCTTAGGGCCCCTCAGAGACTGTGGAACCCCCTTGTCCAGGAGCTAAGGACCATCACAGGCCTCCCCAGCTCCCACTTCCAGTGCCAGGCAAACATCTCCAACTGGCCACTTCAAACATCAGCACAGAGTAGTGTAGTTGTTCAATAACTCCAACCACCAACCAACCCTACCAAAACAAACCACTACACTGCACACCCAATCCTCCCCCCAGGGAGATGCAGAGAGAACAAAATACACGTGAGTCACGTCGCTTAACACATGGCTGCACAGTGCTCCAACACCACCAGGATGAGGGTGGGATAAGACGCCAACTAGATTCCCACAAGGCTGGGATGACTGAGGCTGTCCCCCGCTTGGGGGTTAACCTCTGCACATCGGTACACGGCTCTGCCAGCGGTACGAGGAAGAGTTCCTTGGAGCGGCTGTTGCTGGACAGAGATGAGGACTTGACCCCATGATAAGAAAATGTTGAGCTCAGCATCTTATGGCTGCCAAACGCTTGCCAGCCAGTCGCACCTTTTGCTGTGGCTACAATGACTAAGTAGCTCAGGATAACAAGAGTCCGTGCACGCCAGAGGGGAGGGCAGAGCCTGGAGAGCTGGGTTCTGTTTCCAGTCCTCTTTAACTTAAGGGCAATAAAAGAGGCTTGGAAGCAATCAACGGGAATTCCGTCTAGCTCAGGGGTGGGCAAACTTTTTGGCCCGAGGGCCACATCTGGGTATGGAAATTGTATGGCGGGCCATGAATGCTCACAAAATTGGTAGTTGGGGTACGGGAGGGGGTGAGGGCTCCAGCTGGGGGTGCAGTCTCTGGGGTGGGGCCAGAAATGAGGAGTTTGGGTACTCTGGGCTGGGATCAAAGGGTTCAGAGGGGGATCAGAGCTGGGGCAGGAGGTTGGGGCATGGGAGGAGGTCAGGCTCCGGGCAGCGCTTACCTCAAGCAGTGGAGGCATGGCCAGGCAGCTCTACGCACTGCCCTGTCCGCAGGGGTCGCCTCTGCAACTCCCATTGGCTGCAGCTCCCGGCCAATGGGAGCTGCGTGGGCAGCGTGCAGAGCCCCCTGGCTGCCCCTACGCATAGGAGCCAGAGGGGGGACATGCTGTTGCTTCTGGGAGTCGCGTGGAGCAGGGCAAGCCCCAGACCCTGCTCCCCGGTGGGAGCTTGAGGGCCGGATTAAAATGTCTGGAGGGCCAGATGCAGCCCCCAGGCCATAGTTTGTCCACCCTTGCTCTAGCTGTCCACACCTCGGGGAGCTGGGATTGCTGCTGGAGCTCCGTTACTGCTTGGGATCACTCAGCCAAGTTGAGAAGCGAGATTTGTTTAGCGCACCATGAACAGTAGCTACTGCAGAGCACTGGTCAACAGGAGGACAATGGCACAGCTGCCTGCAACTAGCAATTTCTCCTTCTCATGGCCATTCCTCCTGCAGACACTTTGGCCAACATCCCTGTCTGGTTCCGCCCCATCAACACTGACTCAGTCTATTATGACACTTATGGTGGTAGGTTCTCTTGGGTCCCTTTCCACAGGCATTTTGGGGTCTGCGACTACCCCTTTGAAGCTGCCTTCAGGCAGGAGAGGAATGAAAGGGAGAGGCGGAGGGAGAAATGTGTTAATGAAAGCTACACCTGGCTCCAAGGCCACCTCTCATAGCAGAGAAACACCTTAGCAAAGTCGAAACCTTATGAGCTGCCATCAGGTACATCAAATACCTCCAGGACCTTCTCAGCAGAACCTCCGAGGGAGCAGCTCCCAAAGCTGACAGCAGCCTCGCAGGTCATGCAACTCTGAACTTCACCTCCCCACTGGACTGCAGCAGCAATGGGGAATCCCAGGTGACCTCTTCTTCATACTCAGTACCTGCAGCCTCCTCTTCATCAACCCCGTGCTGGGAGCCTGAAGGATCTAGCCAGAAGGACTGTGTTGCTGCAGTGTGGTGGTGCTCCCTTGGAGGAGCATGGATTATCCACAGTGTTTCCTAAGAACCTGTGAACCTGAGTGTTAAACAGTCCTAGGATTTCAGGGCAACCCCAGTTTCTGCCAAAGTGCACTAGCTGGGAGTCAAAAGACCCTTGCCCTATTCGCCCCCTCCAGTGTCCTTCATGGGGATGTTTGGGCATGAAAATAAATGAATGGCTGCACAGGGCCGGATGTGGTTAAGTTACTTTAGCACCTAGCCAAGGGTAAACAGATGCTGGGAACTGGCAACAGAAAGTCCCAGCCAGCTCTCAGTGTTTCTGCAGAGCAGGTGGGAGAGCAGCCCGGCTCAGGGGCAGATCATGCGAGGGGGGGGGGGGG